TTTGTGACTCTTCTGCCAGAAAATATGGCTCATTACTTGGGAAGCCCATTTCTTTGTTAAAATGGATAGTATTAAAACAGACTTTGCCTGTGTGAAGGAGGGATAAAGCTGTATGCTGGAGGATGTTATTGTACTGTGAGACAGGTGGTGGAATTCAGTTCCATCCTCCAGGGTCACTAAGAAAAACACACCTTATATGTGAACCAATGTTATAATAATTATTTAAAATAAATAGGTGCTTAAACATCTAGTCAATGTGGAAGCTAAATATTTAATTTTTTAAAAAAATTACTCTTGCTTGTTTCTTGTCATCTCTGAAATAATTTGGATTCTTCTCCCTTTCTTTTATATGGTAACATACAGCTGTACTGTGAAACACTATGGCAAGTTGTATGTATCACAGATAATTTCAGTGATTACAAATACTATGATTGGCTGCACTTGAAAATTTTCAGAATACATCATTTTTATTTGTGTTGGGACAGTATGTTTGTTTGGAAATCACTCTTCTCCTGTTACGTTTTATAACAATGTTGGCACAGGAGAGATCCCATTGGGAATGTCGCAATTTTGGACATCACATTGTTGCTCAGTTTTAGCACCATTAGTCTGCTTTAAATCTTCAGCTGTACAGCTTAGAGGAGGGGAGGGTTGGAGTTCGCTGTCATTTTCTCTAAAACATTAATGAGAATGAAATTGTGGAAGTAAAGCAGAAGAAATCCTAGGACAGACTAGTGTATTACTGGAGATGGCTTGTGCAAGATAAGTGTCCATTGCATAAATTCCCTTGAAAGTGTATGCTGTGTCCCTGCAGGATATACACAGATACTTCGACTCCTTTACTTGACAAATTCTTAACCGGGTTCTGATCAGTCCGATTAATTTGCTGTTTCCACTTAGGAAACATTTTTCCCTGGTGCCGGTTTAGGCTTTATGGGGCTGTGTGGTGAGATGATCAGAAAAACTGTTGTATTTAATTCTAGTCGGAGTTTTCCCCAACTCTGATGATATAAAGAGCCGGGGACAAACAATAGAGCTAAGAAAACTTTGGGTTTGGCAGTAGCAGGATCCGTCAGTGTGGTCTTTCTTTGCATTTGATACATTTATCTGTTGTTTTATCTGGATTAGCGTATGGTAAGATTAAGATGTTTATGAAAGCTTTCTTTAGCAATCTGTAAGTGCAGGTTTTTCCTCGCTCTTAGAAGAAAAGAAAAAATGAGGAAAAAAGGTTGCCCTCTTTTGCAAAAAATAGAAAAGGAGGACAAAGATCTCAAACTGTTTTCTGTCATAAGGCAATTAAACAATTCTAGATATGCATTGCATAATTAATGCTGACAACTTCTATTATTTTGTAATTTTAGCTCCACTATTAGAGCTGGTTGGAGGCATTCATTTAAAAGTGTTGGGTTTTCAAAATCAGGTTTGGACAAGTTTAAGCTGAGGTCATGTTTGAGGCTGATAAAAGCTGGAAAGAGGCACTTAGTGTGAATTTTTTTTAATTTTTTAATTTTTTTTTTAAATACTCCTTGCTGACCAGACAAGGAGTTTCATTATGTTCCCCATTACCTTTTTGTATTCAGCAGATTAGAAGTTTCCATGACTTTCATGTTTTCTTATCTGTGTGCACCCTGCAACATCTGCTGAACTTTATATCCATCATAGCCTCTGCTATATTTAGCTTCTGTAGATTGGATAATGCAGTTCCTTCCCACTTGTACATTAAAGTACATCTGGAGGTTTTTCTCTACAATCTTTTTTGTAGTGCTGCTTTCTACTGAGATTTTTAAATACTGGTTATTTATCAGTAGTAGCTCATGGTTTGTTCTAAGCATTGAGGTAGGCCTAGAGTCAGTTCCACCTGCACTTGGAGTGACCTCTTTACCTTGGGCAACCTAGAGCAGCGTACATTGGAACGGTGGTAAGCAGAATCTCTCTGAGGAGGGCTTTTTTACTCTGGAAGAGCTTCCCTTTAAAAAAAAAAAAGTCAAGAGACATAAGACTTGCCTGCATTTGGCAGTCTTTTAAAAGTAATCTGTATTGGATGGTTCTTTCATGGAATAAAGATACAGAAATTACTATGTCAGTTTATTGTATATGTTTTGGAGTGGGAGCTTTTATCCTCTTATGCTGATGAGGAGAAATTGAAATTCAAAACAAAGAAAACATTAAATTTGGATATTTTTTTAATCATTCACGACACTGAGTCAGGTTAGATGGGTTTTTACAATGTCTGCCCTGCCTTAAAAAATGTAAAGGTAAAGCGTCAGCTTATTAAACAGGCACTATCTC